AAAAAAAAAGAACAGCGCCCCAGGGTGACTGGCTAGAAATGCAGATTCTTAGGTCCCATCCGGACCCGCTGGATTGGAAACGGGCGGGGCTCAGCAACGTGGGTGTAACAAGCCCTCCAGGCACTGAGGCTGCCTGCCCACGTTTGAGAACGACCCTCGACACCCTGCTTCTCGGACTGGGCCAAGGGGTGCCTGGCAGCCCCTGGAAGCTGGCTGGAAATGCAGAGTCCTGGGCTCCCCCAAGATTGGCTGGATCGGAGCCGCGTGTTACCCAGGGGCCTCCGGACGATGCGCGGACCCCTGGGGGTTGAGGAGCCCTGTCTGCCTGCGGCGAGGGTGGCATCTGGCCTCCCGGTGGCACCGTACCAGCCTTCACTGAGTCGCCAAGTGGCCAGACCGGGGCCATTTTTAATGAACTGCTATCAGGGCTCAGGATCTGACAAACGGCTTCAAGAAAACGCGTTTATGAATGAACCTCAAGACCTCAGCTCGGGCACCACACTCCCTCCGGTGCTTGGAAAGTAATCACAAAAGACACAAGCAGGTGGAGCGCTTTCTGCCACGCGGCTCCTCTTTAAGTAGCAGTTGATACCAACCCCACCCTGTTGGTTTTTTTTTCTTTTTTTAATCATTTTTATCTTGTTTCTCCTGAGCCTTCGGTGTGGATGTTGGAGTCATAAAAAGCTTAACCGTGCTTAGCAGCAGGGACGGGAGACGCTAAGCAGCTTTTGAATTCGGAGGCGCACGTATCAGCGCTCACGCTTTCATTGTCAAGCAGCGTCCTCGCAACAGCGTCGGGATGCCATTCCCTCCGCCCCGCCGTCCACGTGGCATTAAGGCCCCGGCTCCGGGGAACTTTGCCGACCCTCCCCCCTCGACGCCCGGGTACCCCGGGGTCTGTCCTGCGAGCAGCTGTGAGCGACTCATAATGAGGAGACTGGCTTTGTAGTGGCCGGACCTCGGGACAGGGCCTGCGGTAAATGCGGGGGGCGGGGGGGACTCCGGTCCGTGCAGCTCAGGCCCCACAGTCGCTGTTGCCAGGCTTTGCGTTTAAGTACCTGCGGTCTAAAATTAAATGTCTAGTGTAATTTGGCGTCGCTCACATGAGGCCCGCACCCGCCCTCGGAGAAAACTGAGACAGCTCCGCTCGGGGTTTCAGATGGGCGTCGGCGGGCTGGCGGGCGGCGGAGGCCCGGTCCCCCCTCGCCGGGCACCGCGCGATGCTCGGCATAATTTTTTAAGTGCAGAAACGTATTCATCTTGGGCTAACGCACTGAGAAAGGCTGTTCCCGCAGTCCATGAAAAATTAATTTTTTTCCATTTTTCCCCACTCTCCTAAGTGTTTGACAGAAGTAATTTTTGCAGCGAGAAAGAATAAAAACCGGTGGCTGTAAATCCCTGTCCTGGAGCCCCTTGTGCAGATTCTTTATGGAGCCGGAATTGATCTGCACGTCGGAGCCTGTTGTGGTTGGAGCTGTTTATCACCGTGATGGCCGCGGTGAGCCGGGAACACCGACTGGTGATCCGGGAGGAAGGCTCCCGTCTGCAGTCAGCGAGGGCCGCCGAGTTCCAGTGATAGATTCAGGACAATTATCTCGGCGGCAGCTATTGGC